ATAGAAAGCACAAGTTCGATCCTCAAGCGGGCGAGCCTTCACCACTGCTTGTTTGTAACCAGGTCCCCCACTAATGCCCTTTTACCATTTTTTGGGGAGGGTTCCCCTACTAAAATAGACTACCAAAAACATTTGGCACCATTATTCTAACCTCTCTACTGGAGGACCTAGGTATCTTATTTAAGGTAATGATTTGCTTAGCAGGCCTATGACACTCGTTTTCCGAGCATCTTGTCCGTGGCCGGGGTCACTTTGGGAGGGACACGGGCGGACTTCCTTTTCCCCATGTTGAACGACCGTGGCGAATACAGGGGGTGATCATTTTGTTTTCTTCGGACCCCAAATGACCATGGGTCATTTGGGCCATTTAGTTGTACCTATCATCTTTCAAGAGGTTTTGCAACCAATGGCCATCCCATGTAGTTTGGAGGCTTTGAGAATCGCCCTCTGAGTGAGGCCTAGTAGTTAGTAAGGTTCATATTTGGGGTCCCATTTTTGTTGGAGGCTTCCCCATTTTGGGGTTGTTTTCAAGAGACACAACAGGAAAAAAAGGATAAACGCGCCCTATGTCAGTCCTATGCTTGGATGGTCCCTTCGCAAGGATTGTCTTGGAAAAGGTTTGGTTTGGTTTCTGGTTCAGATGAGCAACACGACTGTCGCTTGCACACGGCACTTAGGCAGACTGCCACACTGCAAGTGCACTTGCCTATGCCACGCCGATGCCAAGCGGGGTGTGTTGGAGGCACATGGGTCTCTCCGTGTGCGGCAGTTCTTCGTTGGAATCGTTTCAGGTTGCCCGAATTTGGGCAGCGGTGGACTGAGTTGATGCCTATTTGAGTTCAGAGGCTTCTTCTAGCTGGCTCAAGATCAACCCAGCCCCAAACCGAGCCAAGTTCAGATCAACCCAAACCCACACCCGTCAGTTCAGATCAAGCCCAAACCCGTTCCGCCCAGCAAAGCCCACCAACCCGTTCCGCCGAACTGCGAAGATCTTGCGTATCCTCAACTTCGCCTGGTGGCCAATTGCCGAGGGCACCAGTTGGACCCGAGCTTCTCAGCAATCTCATTTCAGCCGGGTCCAACGAGGTTCTAGCTGACTCTTGGCCAGTCAAAAGATCGGCTTCGGTGTTTACCGGGATGGTCGTTTGATATTGGCACATCGCGCGGTCCAGGCATTCGTTGCGAAACTGAAAGGCCTCCCGGGAGCATTCACCTTTGCCTCCACCAAAACTAAGGGAATCAAAGCGGAAAGCAGGCAACACGCCAACATCACCTCGCCCATGGTCATTCCCTCAATCATGTTCATCTTTGAATGCTCCTAGTTGGCGACCATGAGAAGCTGCTTACCTTGTTTGGTGCACCCATTTGCCAGGGCACTGAGATAGTGAACACATGGCCCGAGCCATTAGCGCCTACTCAGGGCACATACCCAGCTTTGGTCTGAGAAGATTGCTCCTTGTTTCTCCACTCCAAGTTGGGCTCTGCCTGAAAAAAGACCCGCTAAAGCAACTTGGTGCATGCCCAGTATCCTGCATTTCTATGTTGGCAGCACAAGTAGCTGATCCAGATTGATCCAGTTAATTGCTTTCTTTATGGTCGAGATCCAAGCAAGTTCTGGACAGTGAGCTTAGCATGCCATGCAGTTTCTGAGTTGCTTTGGGCATTGCCCGGTCCGCGCGCCGCGCTGGGATCTTGCAGTATGCAAAGCTCAGCACATGCGGGAGGCTTCTGAGAAACTCTGAACCGGGCGGATGATGTACTGCAAGTCGCAGGGGTTGGCCTGGGAAGTTCTTTACAGATAGCCCTTTCAGCTTTGGACACATCCTTGATATTGAGAATGGATTACTCTGGAAGACCATGTAAGTACTCTTCAGGGGCGGTCCCCCTTGTAGAAAGGAAATGAACTATGTTTGCAGGTTCCTTTGACGAGTAGGGCTCCGAGTGCATCCAAAGTTAACATGATGGGTGCTTTAGATGGTCCCCAAGATTGGAAGAGACTTCCTTGTTACTTTATATGGCTCCACAAAAAGACACATACACAACACACACACACACACATCTATGAGGTTCCAAGGTCTCGACTGACCATGGTTCGCACAAAGAAGTTTCAGTCTCTTGCTTTTGTTGGATCAGTGCGGTTCCGCCAAGTGTTCTAAGCAGAGCTTACGCATCACTCTGGCCGACTTTACCGGGAAGGTTCTCTCGTTGGGCTTGGGTTTGCCTTCTTCTGTCAGTTGTTCAGTGGCCCCCTTTTTCCCCCTTCGTTTTGGGTGGCTGCCCCACTAAAATGGTCTTCCCAAAAAAGGGCTCCCTTTTTTCCAGGGTCACTGAACAACTGAGTTCTGTCAAACAACATACTCTTAAGGATCCTGACGTAGCACGTTGGATGACGTGCTCAGAGCCAGTGTGCGAATCCTGAAAGGCTAGCGGAACCTCTTCGGATGTCATGCTGATCTACTTTTAAAAGCGTTGGCCTACTTCTGAATATGTGTTCTATTACCTTGCTCTATCTTTCACTCTTCGGTTCCCATGAACAGACCAACCCCAGCAGAAAATCAACCAGAAAGTGCTTAATGGGCGCGAGAGAACGGTTGACCGAAAAGCAACCTCAGGAAAATGATTATTGGGCTCCTTGAGGAAACCACTAGTGGAGTCCGATGGCCAAAACGACCCCAAGGCATCATCTCAGCCATTGTCAGAGGCGCCTTTTAAGGCCAGCGATGTTGATATGTCCGAGGGGATGTGCGATTTGTCCGCGCATTTTTTCCCGCTCACGAACGAGCTTGCCGGTGAGGAAAATCCTGTCAAGGGACTGTCCGGGGGCTTAGGAGGTACAGCCGTGTACACACCGCTTATACAAGGCCTATATTAAATGATAATCTGCGTTGCAAGCTTGTGATTGTGTTCTGTAAGCATCCATACCTCCACAAACCAGACCTGGAAATGCCCTTGATCTAGGGGTTCCCTGACTTTCAAATTGGGAATAACAGTTTGCTGAGATCGTTGGAGAACTTGCTCTCAAAAGACATCCAAGGTAGATCGGTTTGCCGCCGGAAAGGGGAACCGCCCCTGATTAGTGCAGAGGGGCTTATGATCGGCATTCGGATATTTGCAGTCCGTCGGAATCTTTTGGAGTGGCCTTCGGCAGGCCAGCATTACGCATCCAGAATATCAATATATATATATATATGGTTCAATTATATGATATATATATATATACACATGATATATATATATATATGTATATATATAAATGTGGCATGTGGTTGGAATGCTGCATCCCATATTCCCCAAGAAGAAAGAGCAAGCAACAATTTGATCTTGTCTCCAAGCTGTTTGGCTGAGTCCCCTGTACTTACTGTGCCGCCCAGGAGCATTGTAAGAGCCAGTTTTCAGAACATGTCCTGGGGAAGGAGCGCCTTTCGTTTGCAAAGTGAACAGCGTGGACTTCTCGAACATCCCTTGAACTGCATGTTGCACCACGACGGGCAAATATCTGCGGAAATGCTTGGAAAAGTTTGGCGCGCTGCGACGAAGATGCGTGACTCGCGGCTTTGAAATACTGCACACTTCGTTGAAGTATTGAAGCAAGACCACGCTGTGCCGGATGAGAGTCTAAGTCCCCTAGTAGTGACCCTTGTCCCTTTTTTTTTGGGGGGGGGTTCCCCTACTAAAATAGGCTACAGAAAAAAAAGGGTACCCTTATTCTAACAGGACCTAGGAGTCGCTTTGGAGTTCCCGATTTGCAGAGTGATCGCATGCAATTTGCAGAGTGATAACTTGATTACGGATTTCAAGCGATGAGAACGACGAATGGGTCATGCACAAGACTAGGTGCCTGAACAATTACCAAGGAGTACTCCTACAAGCATGACCAACATGTTTTGTTTTTTTTTGTTTGTTTAACTTGCCCACAACCCCATACCACTCATTTGGTTGCTTTTGTTGCTGCAAGGGTTTCAAATAACACGTACAACCTCAGTGTCAATGCGCTGCCAGAGATTGCCCGGGTTCAAGGCTTTTCTGCACCAATCTTTGACCAACAGAATCTGGAACCAGTCGGGACGGATGAGACCCTATGCCATGGCTGGCCGGCGCGGATTTTCTTCCCTGCGCAAGTATCAGTGTGTGTGAATGTTTGTGCCCATTTTGGGAGGGGAATTAGAAGATCAAAAGACCCCCCGACCCCGACCCTTTTTCTGGCTCCTTGCCTATTTTAAGACCACCGCTTCACCGAATTTCTCCCCCACCCTTTGGTCTGGCTCCAATGCCCACGTGCTTCGGTTCCCCGTTTCGGTTCGGAAGCTTCACGAAGCCGAGCCCCGAGTCGGTTTCCCCCGGAGGTTCGTGGAGCTCTTCGCGGCTCTGGTGCTGGCCATCGGGGGCTGCGTGGAATTGCCGCTCGCCCGCGAGTTGGAAAAACGTTTGCTCGGCGGGTTGGACCCGCCGCGAGTGGGGGTCTTACCTCTTAGAAACAAAACTTTCAACTTTTTGGGTAACATGGGCTATATGGCTGTAAAAGATTAACTTCCCCGGGGCTTGGAGTTTTAAGGGGTAAGGGTTTCTTTGGAACTGTTTCGCTCGGCTCAGGGCTCCCAAAACGATACATGTTGCAACCGGTTGAAACATGTTGCTTGTTCCGCCAAAATGCATGGAGACCATTTACAAGTTGCAATGTTCAGCGGGGGTTTCTCGGGTTTCTTCCCTGGAAGGGCAGCGAGTTTTTGAAGCATGTCACGGCCAAAGTCTCAGAAACAGGTGGCGTCGCTATATAAGGTAAAACTATATATATATATATGCTTTCTGTTGAACTTGAGGCAGCTTACACGAATGCAAGTCTCTGATATACGTTTGACTTCAACATGTTTTGTTTTCCCCCCCCCCCCCGTGTGTAGAGAAAGTGGGATGTGAACTCCTGGCATGTTTTTTTTTTTTGCAGGAATGATGCATCTCAAATGACAAAGCATGCTTCCTACCTGTTGCGTTCTTTGATTCTTCAA